ACTCTTAAATCACTTTTTCTAAATCAGGGGCAGCCCTGCAGGACCATGGCTGGCTGCATCCTTCCTTCAAGGAATGATAAGCCAGATAAAACATAGAGGGGGAAAAGGGGAAAAATTCAGAGGAAGAAAACAAATCCATTACTATTCAAGATGATCCAATGCCAGCAGGGAGAGGGATTTATCTATTTTCCTTTTTTCCTAAACAATGCCCAAGTATTTCACAGGGACACCCTGGATTCCTGCACACATTACATGATCTTCATGCTGCCCTTTCCCTTCTGCACTGGAGCACTGTGCAAGAAGCCAATGACAGCCACATTATTAACACTTCTGGTGGAAAGTTCTCTCCATTATTTCAATTGTATTTCCCACTTCATTTTTCATGTTATCCTTAAAGCAACCATAGGTATTTTACTCAGGATTTGCTTCTTACATTCTGGTTCTGTCATATTTACCCTCCACTTTAGTTAACTACCACAAGCTATTGTGAGCAACAGACAGATTTGGAGTTGTCTTAATTTTAATATTAAACCTAAGTTGAACCCTGACCCTAAGCTTACTGTCTTTGCATGGGTGCCTAGTGAACTATCTAGTAGCTGTGAACAGTAATTATTAACACAGTTTAATATTTCTCTTATGTTTACGGCCTAATGAGTTTAGTGCTTTTTCTACTCAGCACCACACAAACAATTGATACAGAAGTTTCAGCCTCAAATAGCAGTAAGGGTAATATGGTTAAAACCCTGCAAACTACTATGAAAAGACCACGATTAACCTTGCCAAATTTCAGACCAGAGCCAAATTTATTGGGGAGCTTTTTTTATAAACCAGTTAAATACAGTGAGTAAAAATAGTGTTTAGAGTGGAAGTGCTGACAAAACCTTTACTGCAGCAGCGTGGACAATTCAGCTGTAATAATGGCAAGTGTGCCCTTATCACAGCAAGAAAAATGTAAGGAGTCCTGAATTTGCAGTGAATGAGCCATTACTTATGTCTATCACAAAGAAACAAGACTACTGAACAAAAAAAAAGATACATTAAGGGTTGGATTTTTTTTCCCCAAAAGAAAACTAAAAATAAAAAAGATCAGATGTGACTCAGGCTTTCAAACAATAAAAATAGCAAGATAAAAGAAGTAGGTTGCTTCATTGCCTAAAGAAATGGCTAGAATCTTAAAAAGTCTGAAACCTGATTGTGAGAGACTCACTTTATGGGCTGCTAAGGAGGTGCTGACCTTCATCATCAATAGATTGTCTGAGCCTTTGTGGTATTCAGCAGTAAAGGAAGTGCTTAAAAAGTCATCCTGCTGAAAGATGGACTGGAAAAATCTCCAGTTCAGATCTCAGCATAGCTGTTGTCAGAGCACATGCTCATTCAGAATGTCTGACTGTAAATCTAATTCAGATAAATCTTCCTTCATTTTTAAGTGATAAAACGGGACCATCCTCACCTTTAGAGATGGATCAGGATATCTGGAATTCAATATAAGTTAAATTATTACAGAGGAAGGCAGCTAACGACCTGTCTGTTGTGGGGCTTTGGATGTGTTTTGTTAGAGCACTGGATTTCTCTGTCCTAGAGGACACTGGAGGAGTGGGACAACACGAGCACCAGTGGTGCCATTTCCCTGCTCCTGCTCCAGTTTCAGGCGCAGTTTTGCCCGTTCCAACAGTTGGTCTGAAATGGACTGTGGCAGATGTGATTTCAAACAGCCTTTTGGGAGAAAGGGGCTTAGATGAAAGACTTCAGCTCCTTTAACTTCCTGGAGAAGTCCCATCCTTGCCTAAGCACTACACCAGCGTGGGAGCTGTCGCACACCTTCGAGCAGGGGGAGTTAGCCATGCTGGGCTATGGGGCAGCACAGCTGTGGGGGTGACAGGCAGATGGGAAATCTTCGCACAAAATGCACGTGTGCTGCAGACACAGTCATGCTGGGGGTGAAAAATGCTGTGATGCCATCCCCGAGGAGCCGTGCAGCATTGAACACCCACAGCACAGAGCACAAAACGCAGATGGGGCCCTGATGGCTGGAGCTGCTGGAGCCGCCCAGGAGGCCCAGCCAGGCCACCCCGAGCGAGGCAGCTCCTGCTGCTGGGGAAGGGAAAACAAACCAAAGCAGTGGCAACAACAGCAACCTCTGCCAGTTCTGATCAGGGCTGGGGGAGGGAGAACTACTGCTCTCTCCAGATCTAGTGCCTGATTTGTCTCTGAGCTCTAGCAGGGCATTTTATGGGGTGCGTTCCAACTTGGATCATGGCTCTCCTTGGATTGCTGCCACATGGTTGGGGTAAGGAAGGTGTTTCAGAGTAAGGAAGGTGTTTCAGAGTAAGGAACCTGTTTCAGAGTAAGAAATGTACTCAAAGTCCCCTTTTGGCTTCCCAGCCTCCCCAGACCTGCAAATCATGCCAGGGTATGATTCCAGAGGGAATCCCTCCTTCCATTTACTTCTTACTCCACTGACTCAGCCATGACAGGCAAGTGTGACCCTCAGAAACAGCAGCTTGTGTTGTCTACTGACAGCTTCCACCGAGGTTGGCAAAACAGACCTTTTTCTGCAGCACAGCCCCACAGAATTCATGTCCCAAAGAGCTGGTAACAGCAATGGAATGGTCCGGTTTCAAAGCAGCTTAATCCCCTCTGGGAACTACTGAAAGAAACTCCTCTCTCCTGTCACTCCACTCCAATCAATGCTGAAAGGTTCTGCCTTGCTGTATGTAGATTCAGGAAGAAAGCACTGCAGCCTTTGGTATTTAGAAAGGTTTTACTTCACATCTGCAAGGCCAGAAGCTTTTTTGGTTGAAATCAAAGTTTAAATTCAGAAGAAAAAAGGGCTCATCAAAGAACTGGCAAAGAATTTAACAACTAGGTGCCAGCTGAAATGCCAGTGTGATTTATCAGCAGGTTCTTCCCTAATCTTATGTGAGATAATAGGATAAGGTGTTGAAAGCAGAATCAAACCAGATACAGAACAAAAAGTGTAAGTAATAGGGCTCATAAAATTATGCACATAGTAAGTTTACGTTATCTAGTAGGCAGGCCACTCTCCCCAAGAAGGTTTTGTTAGATAGATTGGGAAATTAACAGAAAAAAACCAGAAGATTTAAAAAGACAAATTATGTTATATTCCTTTTGCATACAGATATTTTTTCCATGTAATCCTCTCAATTTTGAGAGATGAGATTTCCTCAGTGATAGACCCAACAAAACACTTGTCTGTAGTAGCTGTGGTGCCAGGTTCATACATCTCTTAGCAAAGATTAACCCTCAGATTTGCAGAAAGCTGAATTTGCTTATCATAGATCAGGAAAATCATTCCTGAGAGCTCCCAAATTTAGAGTAGTTTCCTTCTGCTATGGCACTAAATTGTCAGTAGATATATTCCCCTGCCTAGTGATTCATTAGAAGTATTTTATAGTAAACACTTCCAAAATAAAAAACAGACATTTTAACAAAAGCTTTGGGAAAATAGTTAACTGACAAAGATATTGATTTTCTAGAAGCTCTTCCCTGGACACGGGTTTGGGTTTTTTCATTGAGATGGTTAAAGTGAGGCTGCCTGATACAATGTGTGTCCATTGAACAGCCCAAAGTCCTGCTAATCAGCTGAATAACTAAAAATATAACAGGAACAGTGTAAATCCATTTGATACAGCAAAGTTCACTTCTCTGGTCCATCAGAGAAATGTCTTCAAGTCACCAAAGAATCCTTGGTCTGTATTTCACAGTTTGTTCTCTTTTTTTTTATTCTACAGTAAATTATTTTTATATTCAGTTTGGTCCAGCCAGTTTCCCATTCACAGTGGTATAATCTCCCCATGAGATGCAGAGCTTTGCCTTTGGCAGCATTCTGGCAAGGAGGAAAGTCCACTAATTGTCCTCAAAAGGCTCCTCAGTGCTACGTGGGTGCTCAGAGAAAAACTCCTGCAAACTTATATCTGCTGCAGGCTCATTTTCCAAACTTCTGTCAGACCCTCAGTGAGGAGCCCACCCAGGAGGCTGTGAAAGTCCTGTGCCCCCTCCAGGACAGGCTCATCCTGCAGGGCCCACATGTGACAGCTCTGTTGGCCTGACATGGCACTGAGATCAGCAGGACTCATCCCCTTGATGCCTCAAGGAGCTGGAACTGAGGCTAGATGGAGTTCAGAGGAATATTCAGTTGATATTTATTGAAGTGGATATTTATTGAAGTGCCTTCAAAGGCCACACCCTGCCAGGACTGGAGTCACAGTCATGGCTCTGCCTGGATTGCTCCAAAATAGAACCAAAAGAGGGTTTGGTCATGAGATCTCACCATTTTATAAGTTTTAGTCTATTTGCATATGGGAGTGAACTGTCCAATTAATGGCTTCAAATTATGAAGTTTCATCCTCCTTGCTTGTTTGCCCACCCTCCTCTTTTCACGTTGCTCATGCTTTGGGCCTGAAGTTTGAAGAGATTGTCCTTGAGTCTCCAGCTAGAATAGGATTGTTTTGTCTTCACCACCCTGTGAAAGATCCCAGTACCACTTAATATAAAGCTAAAGCTGCACACCAAAACAGAGCAGAAAAACTAAGTTTTAAGGGTTTTTTACCTTCAGCTGGGGCTGGGCTGCCTGGAGTCTCCCTACTCTGCTGCACAGTCAAGATAAATCAGAATTTCCTAAATTGCCCAGTGCTGAAGCCAGGACTGGAAAATGCAGCTTCCAATCTTTGGGCTGAGCTATGGTTTGTTTTAAAAAGGGATTGAATGTCTTACAAACAGGTAAAATTGCTGCCAGATTCAAGTACATTAGCCTTCTCCAGCTGCTTTACTGCTGCCATTCAAAATAGCTTGCTATAAATATGATTCCTTTGAGCTCTATTCTGACAAGTGCACAGCACTATCTGGGAAGGGCCCGTGGTTTTCCATCCCCACAGAACTCAATAGGGGTTGTGATTGCTCAGCACATCGCTGAAAAAAGTCTGCTGAAATTACCTTAAACCACACAATTATCCCCTCACCTATCCCTATTTTTCTTTCAGTCATGGAAGTAGGCAGGGAAATAGAAAGAAAGACAACAAAAGAAATGCTGCAGACAGAGCAAACCCTGAACAGAAATCAGAAAACAATGAAAAACAAGCTAGGACAAAAGAAGAAACAACATTAGAGACTGGCAAGTGGATATTCCCAAGACCTCCACTTCATATTTCTGTGTCAAAACTAACGGGAATGGAAACAGAGTCAGTCTGAATTGATGAGGTGGACATTTCCCTCGGGTTTGCGAAGTTTGTGAGGATTGGTATCACACAAACAGCATGTCAACATTCCAAAAATCCTCCTGAGGACAGCACTTGGCAGCACATTGAGGAGCAGCTCCACAGGACCCTCCGGGAAGGCAGCACTTGCTCCAGGCAGGAGCAGCAGCAGTGGCCAGGTTCCCTCAGCCCTGGAGGAACAGGGATAAACCAGCAGAATCACCCCAGCAAAGGGAATGCAAAGCAACAAAATCCATGTCAGCAAGGAGCACCGTCCTGGGATTCACAGGGTTCAATAAAAATCCTGAGATGCAATTGCGTGAGAAATCCCAAAATTTAGAGCTGTTCATAAACAGCAGAAGGAGGGGGGCACTGGGCTGAACCAAAAAAATCTCAGGTAATTTTTTTTCTCTAAGGTTCCTACGGTATTTATGATAGGGGAAATCAAAAGGACACAAAGTGAAAATAAATGGTCTATTTTTTTAATCCCAGCTCTATCAGGGACAAACAATATCTCAATAGTCAGGGAAGTTCCCACTCTGCCCCAGCTGTCCACACAGCAGTGCATCAAATGTTTAATCCTTTGGTTAAACAAAAGTCCAGTTTAGCCTTTTTTTCCGCCTACAGTATTTCCATCATGCCCTCTGTTTCCCTTCTTCCTCTAAAACCAGAATATGGCTGCTGGATGGAAATCCTTTTCCTTCCCATAGCAAACAGCCCCCTTTGGATTCAGATGGCTTTGTCTTCAGCAGCCAAGAATCCAAAAGCTGGGGTTTTGTAGGAAAAGGTTTCTTGGTTGCCTGAGATACTAAAGAAATAATATGACTTTGGCAATAATCTTTGAAACTAATCTGTGATTTTCATGACTTTCTGCCTCTAAGTATTCAAACTTGAGCTGTCTCAAGCAGTTCGGTTCTTTGATAAGTAGTTATTTCTGAGCTCTCAAAAGCAGAGTCCTTTCCAGTTCCAGGCTGAGCCCCCTAAAGGAGGGATCTACACACCTTTGACTTTATTCAAAATCTCTTATCCAGCCTGGAGTTTTATCAGTATAATATGAGAAGAAAGGAGTAAAAGAGTACCTACCACTCTGGCAAGGTTGCAATTAATTTCACAGAGGGGAGGGAAGAGAAAGGAGGTGTAGGAAAGCCCAGCAGGTGGGTCACTGCTCCAGCCACCAGCCTCCTGTTTCCTGGAAGCCAGAGCCAGCAGCACTTACAGTAAAACTGATTGTTCAAAGTTGTATCATTATTCCCAGATTTCTCCAGTGCTGCTAATCTCAGTTAATTATATTGGAAATCCCTTGTATTATGACCATGTAATTCATAATGTGCCAGCAGAAGTCATGGTTCATAATAATCACATAATGGGCAAGGACTTAGACGTAATCAGATTTTAGTTACCCTGTCGTGTTTCCATAATGCTGCTATAAAACCAACATAATCACAAAAAAGTACCAGTTATTTAAACATTTTTATCAGATTGATGTACGGTATCTTTCTCTCCCTCTCTCTCTTTTTTAAACAATGTAAGATAACAAAAATTGGATTACAATTGCTGGGAACAGACTATGATAAACTGTTTGCTTGTGTGCAGCATGAAATTTAATAATGGCATCAGTGTCTCGATTTTTAGCAGTGTTAGACCTGTTAAATAGTAGCACTCTGCAGCCAAAGGCTGCTTTCAAAGTGGCAGCATTAGAGCATTGTGCAAACAATATCTCTAAGAGCTCAGCTGTCTTATAAACCTTGAAAGATGCCCTATATCCTCACAATTAACCTGGCTGCTAACATTTACTGTGCAGATGAGGGCTTGACTTTTTCCACAATACATGATGCAAAAAACCCCTTAGTAGCTGTAAGGATTTTTAAAGGCCAGTGTCTGCCTCTCAAATAAAATAAAACAGAAAAGAAAAGAAAAAAAAAAAAAAAAAAAAAAAAAAAAAAAAAAAAAAACCCCCTTTTTTTTTTTAAAAAAAATTGTGTAGAGAAAAAAAAAAAAAAAAAAAAAAAAAAAAAAAAAAAAAAGAGCCACTTTCTACTTTACAGGAATATGGCTAGTGATGAGAATAGAGAACTTGCAAGCTGCACTCTCTGGACTCTCTCTAATGTTTTATCTCCACTCTGACCCAAATCACTTCAGCTGTGCACTTGACATCCTCAAAAAGGGTCCAACTACACTTGTTTCAGCCCTGTACTGCCAAACTTAATTCAAAAGAATTTGTGAAATGTTAGAGGTTTTCAGCTAGCAAGCAAATATCCTATTTCTATTTTTTTTTTCTTTACCATACCGAAGGCACTTTATTTTAAAGCAATAAATATTATAGCAGTGAGTAAGGTCAGCAAGTGTTGCCCTTTTTCCCCCCCCCTTACACTAAGAAATGAGCTGTGATGGGGACAAAAACAGTTGTCACTTGAGAAGAAAGAAGGACTTGACTCCTCCTAAGAGGAGATGAAAAGGTGGTGAGAGAATAGCTGGAGATTATAGAATTTCTCCCTGGAATTGTGGACAGAGTGGTTGGGGAATCACAGAATTGTAGGGCTGGGGTTTCTCAGCAGTCTCTTAATCCAGCTCTCCTCTGAAGCAAAACACAGAACATCCCTGAAAGGCACTTCTGTACTGTTCCTAAAAACCTCCAGTGAGACAGACTTCTCTGTATCAGCAAGCTGATAGAGAGTTTCTCCCCATCTTTCATGCTGCAAAATAGCCCATGATGGTTTTGTATCCTTATTTGACATGAAGGGCAATTAGCCACCCTATTCTCTCTGCAACCTCTTAGCAGATCTCTTTTCAGTCTTCTCTGAATTAAATAAATTCAGTGCTCTTAGTATTTCCTCCCAGGCCATGTTTTCTAAACCTCTGTATTTTTGTTGGTTTACTTTGTATTGTCTCCAATTTGCCTCTTTGTTCAGACAGAGACAAATTGGAGACAGGGCAGAGAAAAGCAGCAAACTTGAGCTGCTGGATTGGAACTGTGGTTGTTTTGCTCAATGTTTTGTTAAGAAATAAACAAAAACTCCTCTGCATTTTGTGGGGGTGAAGAGACATATGACATGCAATAAACTCAAAGGTCAGGAAATTCAAAGTTGTGGTTGCTGGTGCAAAATATTTCCAGAGATCTTTCAGACTTAAGGAAATTAAGTCTTTAGTCTGACATTGCAAAATTTTCAGTTAGAGATCCTGATCCAGAAAAATGTGTGCAAAGCATTTAATTTGAATAATATCCCTAAAGCAAGTGCTAACTTACATGTTACAAATATCGTGCAGTTCTTGGCTCTTCTTTAAGCCAAAATGTCTTTCCTAGCTCAATCTATATATTCATGTCATATTATCATTCTTTAGATAATGTTGTTTTGCAAACATGCAAATAACAGGCATTTCTGAACAACTAGTACTAAAATTATTGGATTGGGGGGAAAAAAGGCGAATTTATAAGAAATGAAAATAGAAATGCTTGTTTAATTTAGAGCTTTTATATGTTGGACAGCATGCTGTTGATTACCACTGACATCAGGAAGGCAGAGTTATCCGGAGAAGAATTGGTGGTTTCTCACTATTTCTGCACTATTTAGCTACCATTAAATTAATCAGGAGGGACTTAGTCAGCTTCATTAAAGTTGGCCTGAGAGAGGAAAAAATAATGCTCCCTTGGAGAACTCTCACTGTTAAGGCTTAAGAATTAAGTGCTTTCTGCTGCTGGTGAGGAAAATAACTGCAGAAATTGGGACATAGTCTTCACTCTTCTGTAATAGAGAACATTATAAATACACTACATTGAGAAACATTGCAAATTTCCCTAAATTTTTGGCATCCATCTGTTGGAATATAGGGAAATAGGACTTGAACATCTGGACTGGGATGTGAAGGGTAGGAGAAATCACCCTCTAGCTTAAAACCTCAGTAGAAACCATATAATATACATATCTCTATAAGACCTCTAGACAATTATTAACAGCTTAGATGCAAAATAACATTAAACCTTTCTGAGGATCAAAAGATCTTGTCTCACACTAATCTCCTAATATCAGACAGCATAACAAACTTCAAAACCATCAGCCTGTTTAAAACCTGTCGAGATTTTTATTTCTGTTGTTCTGCAAATAATCCTGCCCTGTGATATCAAAATGAATGAGAAGAGGTTCCTGGCTGCTGTGCACAGGAGGAGGTCCACAGCACATGTGCACACAGCTTTTGGTGTGGGATATCTGAGGCACGAAACACTTCCCATGTGTGAGCAAAGGCAGCGTGATGAATTCACCAGGGTGCTTTTGGGGAGATATTCCAGCCCATTCCACAGGCTGGAACATCTCCATTTCCCACAGATGGCTGTGGCAGGCACTGTTCCTGTGGCAGGAGAGGAGCCCCAGTGCCATCTCCTTTGCACACCTTGTGTGTTCAGATAACCTCTCCTGCAGCTCACTGCCCTGCAATTCACAGGCTTTGTCACGGCCACACGCCCTCTTCCAGGCAAAAATATGTGCAGAAAGCTAAAATCTGCCAGTGGCTGTGGCACCAGAGCCTTGGGGACACCATTTCACACCTATACAGAGCGAGGCAGCGTGGTCCAACCAAGCCTTCCATCAACTTCCTAATGTAAGAAGCGAAAAATGAGTATTTCTAGATAAATACCTACATGAATAGAAGTTCCTCTCCAGGAGCCTCTCTGCTGCTGGGGCACATCAGAGAGGCACAGGCAGCTTTCCTGGCATCAGTGCTCAAGGGCAGCCCTGGGAGCACTGTAGGATTGAGGATTTTTGGATGTGCTGCCCGTTGGGGCAGGACACAGCCACATTTCTGCCCAACCTCGCCTCCTCCTGCAAGTAGGACAGAGTTTAGTCCCTTCCTTTTGCAGCACACAGACTGCAATTCCTGGCCATCCACTAGGAAAAAAAAGGTAGAAAATGGGACTTTGTAGAGTTTT